ACAGCATATTGATGGATCCTGTTTTCTTATCCATTCAGTCACTCTCCGTCTCTTTATGGGTGCATTGAGTCCATTTACATTCAGTGTAATTACTGATAGATGTGGGTTTGTTGCTGTCATTTTGTAGTGCTTTTTTTTGTGGTGCTGACGTTTTCTTTGTTCTTCTTACTCTCTTGGAGCACTATGATCTTTTAAAGATGTATCTATATGGGATCAAACTGACAACAGCATCTGGAAAGATTAGACAGGAAACTTACTGGGTAGTGAGTTTATGTTAATGTGGGAGAACAACTCAGAAAAGGTGAGAATGGCTGCACAACTTGAAGAATATAATCAATGTCACTGAATTGGACATGTACAAAGAGTTGAATTGGCGTATGTTTTTGCTATGTATCTTGTCAACAATAATTCAAAAAATTTATATACCTAATATTTTGGCAAAAAAAAAAAGTATTTCCTTGTTCTGTCCATCAAAAAAGCCCAGGAGCTCAAGCAATCCAGTAGTAATGAGTATCCTTTGCCCCCAAATCTTCACTTCTAATTATCATTTCCCATAAAAGGAACTTAGGCTCCTTGGACAAATACCTGTTTCCAGGTCTGGGTTAGGCAACGTCTAAGATGAGCTTGGAACAGCGTGTCATAACAAAAAGCTAAGACACAATCAGACTGCTGTCCATAAAAACACAGGAGCCGACTTGAAGGTGCTCCCACCGGCCAAAGATGGGAGATTTTGAGCATCAAAATGATGACCGCAATTGCTTAAAACACATCAAATGCAGAAGACCCATGAGCACATAACTAGTTTTCAAAGTTCATTCCCTGTTTGTGTCTGCAATTTGCTAGGCACCAACTCATTATTCTGCAAGTTGGTAAATCAAGGGGCAGAATCAAGCATTTAGCCTGCTTTTTTAGCTGTATTTTAGGGTAACCAATAATCACAAGGAAGGTCTTCTTTATAGAATTCCAACTAATAAATGTAGAAGGAATGATAGAATTAAAAAAAAAAAAAAACTTTACGACACTTAATGATCATCAAAGGCTGCTAAGATGGTAAGGAGAAAGGCTGACGGGGAAACTGTAATGGCTGCATTAGCCTGACACCACCTGAACCCACTGGTCAAGTTTCACATCACTGTTGTGTGCCATCGAGTCAAATCTGACTCATAGTGACCCTACAGGACAGAGTGAACCGCCCCATAGGGTTTCCAAGCCTGTAATCTTTATGGAAGCAGACTGCCACATCTTTCTCCTTCGGAGCGGCTGGTAGGTTCAAACTACTGACCCTTCGGTTAGCAGCCAAGCAGTTAACCACTGCACCACCAGGGCTGCTTTTAACATCACTACAGGAAAGTAGTAGGGCATTGAGAAAGAGGAAGACCCTCAACAAGATGGACTGACGCAGTGGCTGCAACAATGGCTTAAGCATAATGATTGTGAACATGCTGCAGGGCCGGGCAGTGTTTTGCTCTGTTGCACACAGGGCTGCTATGAGTCGGAACCTACTCGACGGCACCTAACAACAGGCAAGAAAACCAGACATTAGGTCTTCAGAGGTGACGCAACAGGAAGTACACAGGTACCCCCTCCCCCTCCCCCCCCAAGAAAAGGTGAACAAATCTACACTGAGCCTCTAGATTTAACATAGCTAGGTTAAATGAAAGTACAAAGACGCAATAAGCCAGAACAAGAACGGAAAAACTTCCACAGGACGAATGATCCAATGTCTTCCGTAAGTAGTCATAAAGCAGGTGCAAGAGGGATTTCTTAGAGGCTTAAGAAACCTATCAACTAAATGCAAAGAACAGACCTTGTTTGTGGCCTGATTGCAACACGTTGTTGTTGGGGGCCGTCAGGTCAATTCCGACTCAGCGCAACCCTGTGTGTCACAGAGTAACTGTCCCATAGAGTTTCCTAGGCTGGAGTCTTTCCGGGAGCCGATCGCCAGGTCTTTGCTCCCTCAGAGCGGTTTGAACCGCTGACACTTCAGTCACCAGGGTTCCTGACTGCCACATACCAAACTTCAAAGTCATTTCTGAACAATCAGGAAATAGGGACATGAACTCCCTAGAGGCTGGTCTTAAGAAACCACTGTTCATTTTGTTAGGTGTGATAATGTCATTGGCTTAAGCTTATTGAAAAGTCCTTATCTGTTAGAGATGTATACTTCAGTATTTTAGGGATGAAATTAAATCATGTCTGAGATTTGCTTTAAAATACTCCAGTGCAGTTGTGGGGACAAGATTGGCAAAATGTTGCTAAGTGACAAGGACACGTGGTGCATTAGACTAATCTCTCTAGCTTTGTGCATGTTTAAAATTGTCTTTACAAAAAGGGTAAACAGTACAAAATCAGAAACGAGGAACACACAAGAAAAACCAAAACCCAAGATTGCAAAACACCAAATCTTTATTTACATCCACATATAATAACATAACTTTAAGCTGAAATATATCATAAATAAAACAAGTAATGTCTACTGCTTGACAACTTAAGTATCAACAATTAAAATAAATCAAACTGGAATGAAATAAATACATAAACAAAAATCCAACAAATTGTACCTCTATTATATGTACTGTTGTCGCAAAGGAAAAAAAAGGGAGAAACATACAAAACCAGTAGTATTCCAATAGCTAATACTGACGGGCAAAAAAACGTTTTGAAGTACAGGGCTATGGGGAAAACAAAATTGCATTTTTATGCATTCAGAAATGCGGTTAGAAAGGAGAAATCTGAAAGCCCCTGAAATTTCAGCACAACACGAACTAACTGTTTTCAAATAGATTTGGTGATTTTTTTTTTTTTTTTAAATACAGGTTTAAATTTCAGCCCTCTATTATCACATACCCCCTTTTAAGATTTACATTTACAGTTACAGCGAGCTTTCTGTAACACTCATTGAATTAGGCAAAGATCATCTTGCAAATGTGTTCATCTTCAAAAATAGGCTATAAAAGTGCAAAACTATGAAAACAAAATCTAGATTATGTACATATGGCTCAGCTTGTGAACAGGAAAAAGACCGATAGTGTACGCTTTCCTGATACAAAGCACTTCACTGCGATGCCAGCGGGCTGATCTCCCATTAGGTCCCCCTGGAACATGGGGAGTTAAGACTTACATCAAGGACGCATCAGGTTGCATAATGAATAAGTGTCAGGATTCTTTCCAGGTTTTGCTATTTTAGGTCTTATACTCTTGCTCTGTGCAGAAGGGCAGGGCAAGAAAAATTAACAGTGCAAATTTATTTTTGAGATGATTTCTCAATAAAAGAGTTTGTGATCGCTCAAGCCATGGACCGCTGAATAGATGCAGCCAGCGACTGCACTTTAAGGGAACAAGTGTGTAAATTACCCGGTCAGCCCCTGGTGACTAGTCTCCCTTTAAAACCCAAGTTGCGTGTGCGCTGAGAAAAACGGTGCTGCCTCAAAATCACCCAGAGGGAGGAGAATGGCAGAGTGGGACGGGAAGAGGCAGAGAACAGAGGTCTGGAAACAGATCATCCCTTCCCAGGAGGCTCAGCCAGCAGTTCCTTATTCAGAATCAATGTGTCTACAATTAACTTCAATACATCCACAGTTAACCCAGATGCCAGACACACCAAGGCTTTGACACACAAACCTAAGATTTACCAAAACACTTTCATTTCCTTCCAAATTGCTTCTCAACATCTGCAATTCACATGTATAATTTAGCAAGCGTTTCTATAGATCAATTTAGGCAAAGGCCCCCAGAATGGAATTTTCCAACAGAAATGATTAATTTGTTAGAAAAACAAATTTCCAATAACCTTACACAGGGCCTGTACATTTACTCAGTACCTGGCTGCTCCACAGAGGAAATGCTACTCTGTAAACACGTGCATTGGAAAATCCCACACACCATCACGCCCCCTCAGTAAAGGATCGCGGTGGCTGCAGACAATCTATGGAGCAGCCACGAACTAGGGGACATCTTTCCCAGCTGACATGCTGAAGCCTGCAATGAGAGGGCACCCAGTGGGGAATGGCTGATCTCAACGCATGCAGCACGTATTGATAGAGGGTCAATACTTCCATTAAGACAACGATAGACTGTGGAGGATTTAACATCACACAAATCATTGAGAATTTAAAAAATATATATATATATATATTTTAAATGACAGCACAAATAGCAGAGACTGCTCAAAGTGATGAGCTACATTAGAGGGAAAAATACATACAGTATTTATTAAACAAGCAGATTTCCAACTTATGTATTTACAGATTTTTACCTGAGGTGCAAGCATTATATACTTTCTCCCCTCCCCGTCTGCCCCTCCCCACCCATCCCAGACAATTTCTTTTCAGCAGCGCTCTCAAGTAGGCAAAAAAAAAAAAACACCACTTCCTATTTGGTCAATTCTAAAAAAAAATATTATTCAGGGACAAAATAGAGATTTCCCATCTCCATTTGTATACAACTCAACTGCTCCAACTCTAATTTTTATTGCTATTTGGTACAAAAGCTAACAGAACGACTTTACAAAACTGTAGTGTTCCTTATATATACAGTACAATCACAGCTTATGTCAGTAGCTTTTACCATTCGTCTTCTCAAAGGATGAGCTAATCTAATTCAGAGAAGAGTACGCACTTCCATCCATCAAGACCTAAGGTGGAAGAATAGGTTTGAAAAGTGATTAAGGTTGAACTGAATAAGGTTTAGAAAAATTCCTTTAAAAAAAGTATAAGCAAGAAAATAAATCAATATACTAAGGGGACCTAGGAATCTGGAAATGCAATTGAGTTCCATTTAAGCTCAAGTTTTTCAGTCCAAGTATCAAACAATGATGAGCTTCTGAGGAGATGCTCATACATACTTAACAGTGATTTAACTAGGATGTTTTAGCAAAGAATCAGGATTTACTATCAGTTACACAAAGTCTGGCAAAGGCAATTGCCACCAACAAGAAACTCTGAAGGTTTACACATGAAGATCAGAAAATGTATGGCAGGAACCAGGACCGAAAGGATTTACAAAGGCTTTGAACAAGTCCTTGAAATTGGAGCGATAGGGCACAGGCTTTGGAGTCAGGCAGACCTGGGGCCAGAACCAGGCTCCTGCCACGTGCTGGCAGAGTGGGGTTTTGGGCAATTTATGTAATCCAGGTCTCAGTTTCCAGGGGCCAGCAAACATTTTCTGTAGAGGGCCAGTAAATATTTCCAGCTTTGCGAGACATACAAGGACCTGATAGTAAATACATATAGCTCTACGAGACACCGGATCTGTCACATCTACTCAACTCAGATGTTGTATTGGAGAAGCATATGTAAAGGAATGGGCGTGGATGTGTGCCAATAAAACTTTATTTACAAAAACAGGTGGAGGGCAGTTTGCTGATCTAACTCATCCTGTTGTGACAAGGATTAAATGAGATCATGTTTATAAAACACTTTGTTCAATGCCTAGCAGGAACTAAATTAAATGCTTAGTAAATTCCAACTGTTATTACAGCTACTCCTCACTTACTGACATTTTGCATTTACAACAATAGTAAAAAAATCTACTATCTGACTATTTTGCGCAGTAACAACGTACATCTAGCAGTAATGAACCCCTAGGTGCGAGGTGAGAGTAATGCTGACTGTGAAGGTTAAGGGTTATGCGTCAACTTGGCTGGGCCAAGATTCTCAGTAGTTTGACAGTTATGTAATGATGTAATTTGGCAGTTATGTAATGATGTAGTCATCCTCCATTTTGTGATCTGATGTGGTCACCCTCCGTTTTCACATAACGTCGATTTTTGCATAATGACCTGATCTGTGTAACCTAACCATGTCAGTCAGCGAGGAGTGGGTGTATTACGATTTTTACTATTATTATCATTGCTGATATCCAGAGACTCTGATCAATCTAAATTTTGACACATCTAAATAAAAATTAAAATTAAAATCAATTTTACTATATTATATTGGACACACTAGCCGGCTTCTTTTCAATTAAATTAAATCAATACATCATATTTAATTAAAACATACACTTCTTACCTTTTTCCCCTAAAATAAGAAATCAAGTTTTCTTGTCATTTGGTCGATAATGTGCATTCCCAGTAAAATTCTCATAGTTTCTCTTTTGTAGCATGCTGCTGGATAAGTGTTGATATGACACAGGCCTTTTTCCTGATTGAAAAAAATAGTGTAAAAGGGCATTTAGAGTAAGTTCAAGCAATTAGGTAAGATGTGGATGGGCTGTTAAGGGGTCGATTTTCAAAATTCCTAATGCCAATAATAACCTGTTGCTGTCAATTCTGACTCATAGTGACTCCACAGGACAGAGTAGAACTGCCCCATAAGGTTTCCAAGGCCGTACATCTTTACAGAAGCAGACTGCTACATCTTTCTCCTGTGGAGCGGCTGGTGGGTTTGAACCGCTGACCTTTCAGTTAGCAGCCAAACGCATAACTACTGCTCAGAACATACAAGTCACACACATGTTTGTAAAGTCATAGCTGAAATATTTTTAAGCACCAATGGGGAATATTTAAATTTTGCTTAAGTCACTAAAGCTAAAATTACCTAGGGTCCAGTCTGTCATTATTAAAGATGAAAAAGTCAAAAGAAAAGGCTGGCATAAAATACTCAAAACTATATGCCTCCTGGGCCAAGACTGTGCAGAAGAGAAGTGGAAAAAAAAAATCATTTAAAAAAGGATCTGACATGCAAAAACGGAACCTTTTCTTTTAAAATTTTAACTCACGTCCATTTTAAGGACGTGCGGGGGTGGGGGGAGATGGACATCTTGAATCAAAAGACAGCAAAAAGTAATATTTCATCACGATTTTTATACAAGTTACCGGAGAGTGTCAAAGCAATTGTTTTTAAACTGGCTGCCCCTACCAGACCAATGGGCACCAGGTTATGGCCGATAAAGTGCTGTCACCCCACAGAATCCCTAACTTGAAACCAACACAGACCAAGAGGTCAAAGACAAATTTGGCTCTCAGACCTGAAGGAACCAGCAAAGCTCATCTGCGATCCTGGGAAGCACTGCAGTATATCAAGTTAGCCAAGTGGGACACATGCCCACGACACTCCGGTTGGCCTTTTTACAGGCACGACGCCTTGGCAGATGCTGCCAAAGGAAACGCAGCCTTTGAAAAATAAGTTTCTATAGGGAAATATTCCAAAGTAATCTACTAGATTAACAATTTACATATGTGGGAAAATGTTATTTTAAAAATTCAGTTACTATAACAAGGGCTAGACAGGCAGTATTAATTCCAGAAGTCCTAACATCAAGACCATCAGAGATGGTTTAACAAGCACTTCTTGCATTTTCTGTTCCTGATGGGTCAAGGGTCTTCACTGAAACTTACTAAGCCCACCCCCTACCTCGTGAGGGAGGTGAGACATGGACAGAAGCACCCTCAAATCCCAAGGTGGGCTAGCTTTGAGCATGAGGCACACCATCAATGTGCCAAGGAGAAAAAAAGACTACGATGGGGTGGCATGGGCCTAAATGACACCTCAAATTTTAAGGGCAACGGATTTGTTGTTGGCAGGTGCCGCTGAGTTGATTTCTACTCATAACGACCCCATGTAACAGAGTAGAACTGCCCCACTGGGTTTCCTAGGCTGTAATCTTTACAGAAGCAGATTGCCAGGTCTTTCTCCCATGGAGCCACTGGGTGGGTTCAAAACCACCAACCATTCCATTAGCAGCCAAGTGCTTAACTGTCACACCACCAGGGCTCCTCTAGCAATGGAACAGACCAAGGTTTTTCAATCTTTTTTTTTTCATCACCCTTAATTTTATCATCATTTCCCTATGGAAAAAAGCGGAGTTAGTGAAAGAAATAAAATACTACGGTATGAGACCTTGTTGGGTGTGGTTGAGCTTTGGAGGGCCACAGATCACTGCCGTATCTAAGAAATGTTTTGCCCCCAAGAACTAACCCCTTGGGGATGCCGTCAGCTCCCCACCCCCTTGAGGAAACATGTCTTAGACATTATTAGCTAATTTAGGCATAAAAGCAACTGAAGCATGGTAACAGGCATCATGAAATACCTTCTAACGCTGCACTCGACGCCTGACTAGTAGCAGGTCCACAAGAAGGGTAAAGCGATCCAGAACCGCCATAGGGCTTCTGAACAGTCAGCGCATTTGGCGAATCGACCTCACTCGAACCCAGGAACCTCGGTTTGGGGGACAACACTGATGATGGTGGGCAGACGCACTCCGGAGGCAACAGGCTGGAGATTCCTCGGACCACGTGGTATTTGGGGAGGTCATAGTTTCTCCTATGGTAATTGGGCCCAGGCTGCTCAACATCAAGAGCTACCACACTGGGTTTCAGTCTTTTGGGAAGCGGCTCGCCAAATTCCGCATTGGCGCCGGCGCCGCTCCGGCTGGAGAAATAGTCTCTTCCCTGTGTGGCCCACGGGCTGTCGCTCTTAGCAGGGTAGTCGACGGAGCCATTGATGTGAGGTTTCAACTTTGTCTCAGGTCTCTTTGTTTTGTCTGGTGCCGGAGAAACGCTGGTTTTAGAAAACACCTCAGGCTGCTGCTGTCTGGCGGGGGCAGCCCCTTGGCCTCCGGTGCTCTGCGGCGGCCTGTGGGACTTCAGGTTACTGGGGACTAAAGTGCTGGAGTCTGTCCCCGAGGTCAGCGGAGCTTTGCCTGGCCCCAGGGGGCACTGCTTCACCTTCTCGGATGGCAGGGACTTTGCCTGCGCAGGGAAGACACACTTGGGCTTGGGTTTATGGAAATTAGACAAGGGAGGCACGTCCTTGCCGAGTAAAGCTGGCGGGCACCCAGTGCGTCTAGCCCTCAGCAGAGACTTGTTTCTACAGTTTTTATGAGTGTCGGGGTTGTACTTATGCTCCAACCTCTGGTGCATCATTAGGACTTCTGGGTAAAACGTCTTGAAGGTACAAAAGGGGCAGGTGATACTTGGGATTAAACTTTTGCTCAGAGACATTGCTGGGCAGTTGTGAAGGGCCCCCAGGGACAGATTTAAAGGCTTTTCCTGACAGTCCGTGGTGGGCTTGGGTTTGCAGTCAGCAGCAGCCTCTCCCGTCTTCTCTCTGTGGCTGACTTCCATGCTGTGGGTGGCGCTGCCGTCTGAGTGAGGAACAGCATCCACTTCTGGTTTACAGAGGAGGCTGTCTGCCTGAGGTTCAATCACTGATCTCTTTTTTAACACGTCCAGGTAAGCAGGGGTTGGATTTTTGCTCATTTTGTCAGCACTGTCATCGGTTGCATTTTTACGGAAATCCTGAGAATCTTTGTGAACTGGCGAGAGGACCGTGCTGCCTAGAGCGTCCTGAAAGGCAGGAGGCATCTCCTTCAGTTGCTTTGCAGGCGGACTGCCTTTAACGTCTTTGGCACCGTCAAAGAATCTTTTCAAATTTTTGGTCTGCCCACTCTCAGCGGTTAATAGCGCGTCTTCCGTGTCCTGACTCTTCCCGTCGTTCTTGACTTCGGTGGCCACCTCCATCTGCTTGTCCTTGTGATGTCTCTCCAGGTGATACCGCAGAGACGTCTTCTGGGCTGCAGCATAGTCACAGAATTCACATTTGTACGGCTTTTCACCTAAAACAGGAAACGCTGCTGTATTACAAGAGTTTACAAAGAACATCAAAGTAGATCTTTGGAAATTAGGCGAATTTACTATATTACAGACAATACAGGGTTCCTTCCTTGCCTCTTCTCTAGCTGCTGATTTTCCTATCCTGAATTTCTCAGGAGCTGTTTTATTTTATCACCCTCACTATACGGAAAATTTGAAAACGTGAATACATGCTTTTAAGGAGAAATAATTAACAGCTGCATTTTAAACTTTTCTCTTTTAATTTTCATAAAAGTCCCATGGAAGTGAATATCCCTTTATTGCTATTACATATTATTCATAAATATTATTTATTATCATAACTACTTCCTTTTTTACAGCTACAGTCACTGGGGCACAGAAAGGCTAACTAACTTGCCCCGGGTTGCCCAGCTAGTAAGTGGCAGAGAAGATATTCAAGTCCATGCAGCCTCCGAAGCCCATTACATTACAGATGCTTCTATAATCTAAAGAGAAGACCACTAAATACATTCTCATTTCATACTGTATCACAAAACTTAATATTAAAAAAGCTGTGGCATTAAAACGTATTAGAAAAGTTTTAAAAAGAGGAGGGTCAGGATACGGGAGCCATGAACCAGGCAAGAAACTAGCTTCAAAGCAGGAGAACACAACAGTTCAAGCTACAATGACACACTAAAAAAGTAAAACAGCTGCCATTCGCACCCTACACATTTATTCTTGAGCTATTCCAAGGATCTAGCACAATATTCAAACAACAAAAAAAATAATAAAATCACAGAACTACATCGTCATTCTTTTCGCTAATACATGTTTAAAAAGAAATCTAAAGACGTTCTTTACCTGTATGCGTTCTGAGATGAATATTGAGGTAATAATTGGAACGGAAAAACTTTCCACAATAACTACACTCTCTCGAAGACGTAAGATGCTTCATCTTTCCTCCATCATCATTTTTATCTTAAAACAGAAACAAACATAGGTATGTTAAGAACACAGCTAAATCACCGTAAGCACTGATTATATATTTAGCACAGAGAACAAACGAACTGCTTTAGACACCGAATGGATTGTAAATTGGGCAACATCTGCCAGGTAGCAGTGCCCGAGTGATGAACTGAAAATCGTCAATGTTAAAACACTGTGATAATCAAAATGAAATCGGTATTAAAAAATTTAAAACAAAAAAAAAACAGATGAAGCACATGAATAAGGCATGTTGACTTAAATTATTAAATATTCTGCATAGAAAAAAAGGCTAAAACACGCCAAATATTGTTTTGACGTGTTATCGCCTCAATAACACGTGTGCGTTTGTTTTGTATTTTCTGGATGTAGCACAGTTCATTATTATAAAGATGTGGTTCCTTGTTTGTCTTAATCACAAGGAAGATCATTTACTAGACTGGACCACGCGAGCAGCAACATCTGAACCGCAGAGGATCTGGCGCGCTGAGTGGGGAGTTCACCACCAACTGGAAGAGCCAGCTTCTTCACAAGTAGTTTAGAAGGCTGAGCCGGCCTAACGTGCCAACTCTTCTCCCAGCCAATGGGAAAAAAAGCAAGTTACCACTAGAGGGTAGCAAGCACAACTTCATCTTTAACAGAAAATTTAAAAGTTTTGGCATGGGGCAAACACCTAGGAAAGTCTGTCAAAATTTAGCCAAGTTTTGGAAAGCAGACTGTATCCTCTACAAGCACGCCCACAGGCCATCTAGATATACCTGACAAATCAAGAGCTGTCCCCCAAAGGACATATGTAAAACTTGAAACATCATTCTTTGCAGTGTGTCCTATGTGCCATAGAGTAAAGGTCCATTTGGGACACGAATTAAATGACGACTGTATTTCAAATAATCACCAGCCTTCCAAAAAACAATCAGATGCACTACAGTTAAAATAATCCCCCTAGATAAATGCCCCCCCTCTGTCATAGAATGAAATCATTACATGACTACAACAAAAATCTGGTCACCTCTTAAAATTCATCTCAATTAAATGGGTCATTTTGCCTCGAACACCTGTTATTTCCCATTAAAAGACCTTGTTCCCACACCTTCAATAATCAGCTTAAGAACAGACCTGGCAAACCTCCAGGTACAAAGAAGACAGGATCTATCCGCTGACTGCTAAACTCCCCGCTAAGGAAAACATATTCACTTACAAAACAGAAACAGTCCTTGATCTAAAAAAAGTGTCATGAAGACTAAAAAATAATTTATTTTGTCTTCTGATCTTCATAAAAGTAAATCTAAAGAAGGTTGATAGTACAACAAGATAAATCTATAGACTAGAAAACCACACCATAATGTAAATGTAGGAAAACAAATTCCCTTAACCTGGAAAACCCAGCTTGCTTAATTAAAAATCATACCCAGCTATTGGGTTTGTACCTTGCTGCAATTTCCTACTCCCAACTCTGTGTCAGGATTTATGGTATGTTGCATCACAACCAGAAAGTTATGAAATGCCTTTATTTTAAAACAAAGGATGTGAAATGTCCACACCCGCCTGGTCCCTGCTGTTTGACCATCACCTCTGATTTTACTGTGCTGTTGTTTAGTGGACCAAGAACCTTTCACACACAGGCTACTGAAAATGATCCTTGGGAGGTAGAAGACAAGGGTCAATGAACCAATTTTGCAAACAGAAATCAGGGCAAAGACAGGTTAAGCAATGTGTAATCGGTCACAAGACAATACAGTGGTAGAACCAACTGAATGCAAATCTTGGCGCTCCCATCTATGTACAGGTATTTCTATCCACCTGATGGCCTGGTCCAAGTTTTCCACCCCATTCTTCTGCCCACATCCCCTCCTAGGAACTGGTTACTGCATTTCTTTCAGGGCACTGGGGCATCTTGTGAGGCCTAATTACTTCCCCATTACTGCATGCCCCTGAACAATACTGCACATTAATGGGTCACTCACGAGACTCGAGTTCAGCTTAAAGCCCTTTTTATGACGTCATTAAGACACCACAATGTGTTTTCTAGGTTTCTGACAACCAAAGATTTGTACTAGGCTAAGTGCTAGGTTTCCTGTATCCCAGGAAACACCAAACCATATAAATATTGTATATGAAGACTACTGTACTCATACCCATTATGTGACCAGAGACAGAACTAAAGAGCCCACTACGCTGTCTAATTCATCTTGTGTCTCATACACAGAGCGCTCGGAAGACTTCAAACATACAATATGGTTACACTGAAAGGGGAATAAAAAGGCACTGTGAATGATCTTTGGTCTTTCTATAAGACCACTTTTGTAAACTATACTGTTTCACTAAGACTAGCTCATGATCATCATTCACTTATTGATGATGTCCTCCTACACATGAGTGGATTTTAAATGGTTCTTAAGCAGCAGAATCCTTTAGTCAAGGATTATAGCCAAGTTAATATTAAGCTCTGGTTACTCACAATGGGCAAGACTCGAACCCCAGATGGAACTAATATATGAACAAACTTTCAGTGACATCTCCTGTTTCTTATAAATGTTATTAGTACACTGAAATTTTTACTAAGCAAGTGAGATGTTTTTAAAAGGTATCTCTGGTGTATTGAACATTCCCTGTATTTTACCAGCCAAGTGTTTCGGTTACAGAGCTAAGTGAGAAAGAATACTAGCCTCCTAGACTATAAGGACAGAGTATCGGGCAGCACCCAATGGTTTCCCCAACAATACTGTGCTTGTTCTGGTTGATAACCAATCCCAGTACCTTTTGTGATCACTAGAAATCCATGTGGAATAATCATAGAACTGGGTCTTGATAGAAAGGGAAGTGTATTGTATAAAGGATGACTTGTTTCTATAGGTAAGATGAGGAATGCTGGAAAAACTGAAGTGAAGGCCAAGATAGCTCAGCCTCCACACTACTGACATTTGGGGCCAAATAATTCTTGTTGTGGAGGCCGTCCTGTGCATTGTAGGGTGTTCACTAGTATCCTTGGCCTCTACCCACTAGACGCCAGTAGTAACCTCCCCTTCCCCTTAATTGTGACAACCGGAAATGTCTCCAGACACTGCCAAACGTCTCTTGGGGGTCAAAACCACCTCAGCTGAGAACAACCGCTTTAGGCGGATGCACAAATAATGTCCTTTGTTAGCAAAATATAAAATCACAGAATTTTCAGAAGAAGAAAAAACCTTGTTACGCCTTTTAACTCAACCCTGTTATTACAGAAACAAGAAAATTAAGGCCCTGAGAGGTTCAATGACTTACCACAGTCTGCCAAAAAGAGCCTGGACTCAACAGTCCAGCTCTTCCAACTCCCAATCCAATGACTGTCCCAAAAAAATCTGAACGTGCACCCTGCTCTCCACACCCCCACTATTCGCCAGTGCTTGCTGGGATGGGAACAGAGGGGACACGGCGTGCAACGGTGCAACTCACCCAAATGGAGTCCTTCAGGAAGCCCATCCTCAGAGCCATCTTCAGAACCGCCTTCTCCCCGATCCATCGCCCCATTTTCATCCAGAGGGGTGGCGAGGTCCGGGGAACACGTCCTCGGCTGCCTTCCATCGACGGACATGGTGGGCGACTCTGCATCCGTCCGCCTGTCCTTCTTATGTACTCTTGAGTGTAAGACCAGCTGGTGGTAGGTTCTGAAAGCTTTGCCACATTCAGAGCAATGTGTGGGCTTCTCTTTGTTATGGGCTAATTTGGGATCTGCATCCACAGAAGGCACTTCCCCGTTAGCATGTCGAGGCTTCTCTTTATCTTGTGAGAGGCCCGTGCAACTGTTTTTATTTGTCTTGGACTTCCCAGAACCTTCTGAATGGCTTTTATTCGCGCTCCAAATTTCTCCAAGCTCCTCTTTATCTGAACACGAATCGTCATTGTCAGTACTGCCTTCTTGCCCTGGTTCCTTAACTTCTCCTCGGCCAATGGCGACCTTCCCTTTGGTGGCCAACTGCCACGCCTGGTAGGTGTTGAATGGGTCAAGCTGAGGTATCCACTTTGCTGGCTTCTTGACGTTTTCTGGGTGGGATTTTGGTCTTAAGTTTAAAAACTGCAGGAACTCTTCCCTGGGGGACAGCGTTCCCTCTTGACGAGAGTCGGCCTGTGTCTCGCTGGTACTGGAAACAGTTTCTTTGGTGTGCACTTTGCTGTGCTCAATTAGACTTTCTTTATCCGGAAAGAAGAAGCCGCAAAACATGCAGATTTTGTAGGGAGATGAGATGCTTTCGGCTGCGTGCTCCTGGACCACCTCATTGATGGTCACTGGACTTTCCAAGCCTTGTTGGAGTTTGTTTCTAGCCCCGGACTTGCCAGTATGTGTCCGCATGTGATTTTTCAGAAACCATGGCTCCTTGAATCTTCGTCCACACACATTACATCCATAAGTGAAAGAGTCCTTGTGTTTCTTCATGTGGATCTCAACATCAAAAGCGACCCTAAATGTCTGCCCACACACTTCACAGCTAAAGTCTTCGTCTTCTTGGCAATTCTTGTCCTTTGGGGGTTCTGCTCTCACTTGGCTTTTATCAAGAGGACTAAGATACTCAGCTTCGACACGCAGAACCGCTGGCTCACAAAGTATAGGCCGATGTTGTATTAAGACATGTTTGTTGAGATCTTCTGAGTGTGTAAAGGTCTGACTGCAAAACATGCAGTCCAAAGGCATATATCCTTCTATTTGGATTATATTTTTTTCTTGCGTTGCTCTGAACGGAACAGCGGTGGTCCCTTTTATGGACATGCCATCATCCATCTCCATTTGGGCTCCCAGGGAATTGCCAATAACTTCAGGTCCGTCCATGTACACTAAGAGGGACTGAGTTGGCATGTTTCCTGTCACTGTAGGATTGTATATAAAATCAGAATCTCAAAGTTCCGCCAGAGAATTTCTGGAGTTGGAATAAGGCCACTTGTAAGACTTGTCACTCACACCTCCAACAGCCTGGGGCTTCAAAACTAGGGCAAATATTTATTATAAAAGTTCAAAAGAAAGTATATATTCCTCTAACTTCTTATCTTCTGAAGTTTTCAGAAGCTTGGTGATAAAGAATGTCACCGGGTCTTTCCACAAACAAGGCATACAGGCCCCCGAGTGCTTTGCTTGAATTATGAATCAGCACAAAGCATGAGTTCTCTTGGTCTCCACTGAATGAGTGACTCAGTTGAGCAAGAAATCAGTCCCAGCAACCTTGAGACACGGGATTTCCAAAACCTGGAAGGGAAAAAAACAATAGAAATGTTAGCTAATCTGAGACAAAATAAAAGGCTGTCATGGTAAGTCAGAGCGGTCTTTTCCATGTAGCAGAGGAGGTGCCTCATCCCATTGCTTAACTTTTAACCAGTATCACATCACATCCTGCTAAATGTGCTTGCTAATTAAATCATTAGCATTTCATCCCATCAGTACACTAATTAAATCACTAGCGTTTCATCTAGACGGTGTTTTACTAATTTAAATCTAAAATTTAAAGTTTCAGGGCAGAAACTTTTTCCAAGGCCCCTAAAATGCACATGTGTAGCCTATAAACAGCCTCCACAAATCTAGAGACTATAAAAACTACTAAAAATAAAATGACAAAACTAAGGCCCTTTAGGTAAACTGTATAAAGCCAGGGCTTCAAAGTATTTTAAATATAAGAAACAGAAGCTTGAAGTACACCCGAAGATCACACATATTAGGTCAAAATCCTAAGCATGCAAAAATAGGGGGAAAAAACCTTTCCTAAGATTCCCATTCAAGAAACACAGAACATCTCAGAATGGTCAAAGAGACCTTGATCCATGTGAATTCACTAGATATTCTAAACCTCAATCCACTTCCCAGATCCTAAGTTTGCTTTTCACAACTTTCTACCTTCAGTAAGTATCACATAGGACTTCCTTGTCCAAAACAATATATAGGAAGTACAATCTTGCGAATGTTATCTATTTAAAATAAAACCCTCAACATAGCTGCTTCAACCTGGCTTAGTCAATCAGAAACCAGATCGCCTCGTTCTCCTATCCACCTTCCATGTTAGACACTGGCCAGGTGAACACTGGATTGCTTTATTTAGCTCTGCAGGCTATGGTTTAGAAGCTAATCTTCACTCCCGGAGAAGAATTAAACTCGAACTCCAAAACTGTCCACTATTTCTTGGCAAGCACAGGAATTGTTTTTCAACAAGTCCCAACTAGTTTAATCTAGTTAATTTACCCAGGAAAACAAAAAGACATGCACAGTACTCCCACCACAGTCGAAGTACAAAAACTACTTTTTCTTTTCTCTACTTCCTCAAAGAACAAGGGCTTGTGGGCTCAGAAGACCAGGAAGCATTTCTTCCCCTTCTTAACACTCATAAAAAAAATTCTCATACTTCTTCTTATCTGTCGTTTTGAATAAATTAGATCTTTAACATTAAGCTATTCCGAGTAAGACTGCAGATCAAAGATTACCATAGAGAAAGGACGTACTGAAGGGGTTTATCTTCTCAGTCTTTGTTGCAATCACAATGGAGGACAAACACATGGCCTGGTTACCAGCTTGCTGTGATAGAACACTCCAGAGACCTGAGTTCTAGGCCTGCCTAAGTCACAACCTTAAAGTTGTCCCTCATCTTTATTTACCTGATGCAAACAGATAAAACTATTAGGATCGGTCCTCTAGTTCCAAAATTCTATGGTTTTGGGGTAGAGCTATATTTATGTATATGGACTCACTCGAAAGATCTTCAATGACTCTACTAATCAGGATATTAAATACCTGACTGATAATTTAGGTTTCTATGTAATCATTTACTCATTCCACAAATATTTACTGAATGCCAGTGTCCCAGGCAGTATTTTAACTGAAGAATTAACAGCACACATTCTAGAAAAGCAGTTACCAAATTGATGGCACTGTTTTCACTGGCCAGCAGTTAAAGGAGAAATAATCCCGAGTGCTACACAAAGCTACATGTATCCACTTCAGTTAGAATAAAGACTGTCCTTTATTCAAAGGCCTCTCCTAACTTTCCGTGCTAAAATACCTTTTAAAAAAATGAAATGGTGGCAACAGCAAATAGTGGAATTCTTTCTTCTTCATATCCTTAATTAGCAAAATTAGTCTCCACGTCAGACCCCAAAATTATTTTTTAAGAAATCTGACTTATCTGTGAATTTTTCAAAAATTTTCTATAGATATAGATTATATATAAAGCTATATAGACTAAAACTTGGCCATCATTTCCAAAAGAGACACTAACCCTACTCCCAATCCAAAATCAAATCTTTGGATTAGAAATATATTTCCCACCCAAGGTAACTGCATAACTCAGTTACTGGGAGTTTTGGGATACTTGTTTTAGAAAGATAAGGTCTGGTTACTATTTTTACCTCTCAGATTTTCAAATATCTGGGTTCAGTAAGTCACCATCACCTTCTAACACAAGACCGTCTGAGATGACTTCCCACTGTGCCTTGCCTCCTTCACCATCTTCCACTCAAGTAAACCCTGCCACTCACTTCACAGCGTCTTCTTCCCTGTCTGGCCTCCCAGGGCACCCTTCCCCTCATCTTCAGGCGGCCCATCCCATTCACCCTCCCAGGCAAAACAGAAGCATTTCCTCCTCCAGAGGAGCTTCCGGGACAGAGTCTGAGAGTCTGAACTGTGCCCAACTGTCCTGAGAGCACCAGACCACCCGTGTCACAGCCAGCCTTTTAACCCACCCAAACAGTGTGCAAACCCTCCACCACCCCCCAGCACTAAAACGGCACAGAGTAATGGAACAACCAGAACACAATAAAAGAGAATGTTGACACAAAGTGAAAAAGGTAAGAATGTCATTGATCAGTCTGTGTGGAAATGGTCAAATGGGAACCTAACGTGCTGTGTAAACTTTCACCAAAAATACAATAAAATTTAAAGAAAAAAAAGGCATAGAGGAGTCTTCCCCAAAGGCCTCTCCTCAGAGGCTGCTTCCCTGCCCACTGCCCTGCAAAGCCTCTACCTCAATCACATGCTATCCCAGCCCTGTGACTACCTCCTTTGAAAATTTCTGTCCACATCTAAAATCATACTGTTTATTTGTGTGCTCATAGTTGTCTTTCTCCACCCGTTAAAGTAAGATCCTCAGAGGAGAGACCTCATTGGCCTTGTCTGCCACCGTCCCCCAGTGCCTAGAACTGGGTACCTGGTTCAAGGTAAGGCTTCCGTGAACACCTGGTGAATGAGTGACCAAAGACCACGTTATTACTATGGGCACAGAATCCATACGCCCGTCTCCAGCCACAGTCACTAACCACAACTGACCTGATATTGAAATTAAGTTGAAATGTTCATCAAAACCTCTACATGGCTATCTGTGGCTACCATCTAATTATCATTCCCTGCCAATTTCAACAGTGCAATTAAAAAAAAAAAAAAAAAGGATCATATTTACTCACACCATAAAGTTGATGATCGCAAGCAAAACTGCGCCCCCTGGATTTCGAAGTCCTCTCCCTTACCCCTGACCCACCAAAACATACATGCTGGGCACGCTAAGCTGGGCACACGGCTCTTGATTTTGAAACCATGATGTAGGTAAACACTTCCTTCGACTCTAAAGCAAGGAATAATACTTTAAACCATATCTATATTACTTAAAACCAATTTGCTAACTGATCAAAAATCAGTAGAGGGTTGTACTAATAAAGGACTTGAATAATATGAGAATTTGTGAAAATAGAAAGTGCAATCTAATGACTGTCAAATAACAAATCACCATGCCAATAAACGAAGTGTGTGACAGTGCACATATAGGGCCTTCCCAGAATCCGCCAGCCTGCCACATGTGCAGCACACAGAAGCCAGCAGGGACTGATGGTGCTGCTGATAAACTCAATTGTCTTTCTTGACAAAGAACTGGAGAGAGGAAAAGAACGAGATTATAATCCCACACTAAAAACTAAATGCTTTCAGTTTGCAGGAAAGCGAGTACTTTGAACACACGGACTAAGCTGATTGTGAGGTACTTCCCCAAAGGGTTTTCCAGTATTAAAAAAAAAAACAACTTAAACCTCTACTTAGGTAAATAACAGCACTTAACCTTCAGCCGTACAGACTCAAGGGAACCTCAGGCAAGTAGCTGCTCAATATAACCATGTGTCTGAAGAGAATACTAGGGTGTAATTTATACTGTACATAATCTTTAAAATCCAGTGGAACCATATTGCTCTAAGCCTGATGTTCTTTAGATTAGTTCTTCTGTTTAAAAATAAAGACGCTGGTCTGTAACTAAAGCTACTGTGAATTCTACCACTGCCTGTAGATCTTGAAATCAGCAAATAATACACGCTCTAAGATGCTTAATGAAAAGCACAATAATCTGGGCAGGCACACAAAAGTAGAGACAACTGCCACCTTGCCGACAACTGCAGTTTTGGGAAATACTGCTGTTTACGTACAGATGTACTCAAACTGTTAACCCTCAGAGATAGCGCATCAACTCCGCAGGTGATCTCACATTTCTTGATACGGAATATTTATCTACCACAGTATGGAGCAATAAAGCAAAGTCCTCACAAACTGCCAAAATCACATAAAAATTCTGTTGATAGCCAATTAATTTACAGTATTCCTACAATTTTTCCCAAGAGTCCAAATAAATGATCACTAAACATTAAATGATCATTAAGACATTCAACCTAAACAGAACTGCTACTCTCCGGCCAGTTCATTTGGATCCTTAAAACTACAAAATTATCTCCAAGATCTAGTTAGGAAATTTACACTTTTTCCTACAAGTTGTCTCTATATTTTATACATACTATTTTTTTCCCCTTAACCTGACAAGTGGAGAAAACTCTACACGGTAATCTACAATAGCAATCAAAACCTGTAACTTTAAATCCTTCAACACTATTTCAAGGAAATGACCAAGGTCATAACCCATGAGCTAAATGGCCAATCCAACTTTCCTAATATAGCTATGGAAAAATGCTTAAAAGTGAAAGAAAAAGATTAAAATATTCACATTTTATATTCAACATTACAAGCTATGCTATCAGGCTATTCCAAGACAAACTCTGGAAGAACCTATAGGACACAGTCTTTATTTTCTTGAATTTGTATATAAATACTTCAGTTCTAAATAGGATTAGAGATCAAAGTACTATTTTAAAAAAACTCTGCCTGATTCATTCCAAATCAGTTAAAGTCAGATAAAGGATATGACCTTAAATAAACTAAAAGCACCATATATTAGTTTTAGTTTCAATATTAATATGAACAGGTACTGTGGAATATAAACTGGCTTTTAAAAACTCCAGATTGACCTGAAAAAGAGAACTATAAGAGAAGCAGATAAAGGAAAAAAAAGTTTTAAACAAGTTAAAGCATTGCTATCAGTTGAGTTTCTACTATTACTTCTACCAACCAGTCCAACATTAAATATTTTGAAAAGATTTTAGACAGGATTAACTGTACAGACAGATACTTTAGTCGAATTAAAAAATAAACTGTTCTAACTTTACTTGTCCTTTTTAACTCTCTACAAAGAAAACACCGAGTATATATATATATATATATACACACACACACATATATACACAAAACTATGCAAATAATTATATTCAATACACCACTACATTTCTACACCACTTTGTCCAGAAGGCCAAACAATGAGCCTTCTTAATTATATCCAATTTAACTAACCTCAGATTGAATACAAACATAGGCAATGCCTTTTAAGGCATGAGATCTTTCTTCAGAACTATTTAAATATACCCCCTCCCCCGCCGCATGGGGGTATAATTTAGGAACAGACGAGGGTAAGGTAAAGACTGCTGATATGTCAACTGCTTTGTTACATATATGTTTACCACAATTAAATAAAGTAAACAACTATACCCACCCCTCCCTATCTCTTGTTAAATGAAAACTAAGTTGTATCCAGGCTCTTTCATGTCACCTGTTTGCTCTCAAAATTAAGAAAAACGAGTTTCCTTTAAGAAAAAAAAGAGTTTCAAACTAAAACTAATGAATACAATCCCTGTTGAGTAATTTATGGAACCGGCCTGACAAACTTATCCACATATTCAAAATCCCCCTTCTGTTATAAATGAACTGTTGTGAAGTTATCCTGATTTGATACAGGTAGAAGAAATGAAAAGTATTTCTCCTAATACCGATCCAAGAACAAAACCTATCAGGACTCTATTTCCAGGCCATGGAGCTATTTTAAATTCAAAAAGGTCTCCAGGCACAGTAGAAACCAATGAACAGCAATCCACAAAACAGCACACGAACCTATTAAAAAAAACAAACATCTGACTCCAGGAGAGCTCTTCTGAGGTAGCGGGGAGGAGTATGTAGGGCTAAAAGTAACTTTAGCACAGATTAAGACCAAAGGCTAAGGGCTCAGACTACTGCTCTCATACAACTCACTCAGCTGTCTTTACAGGCTTAGTAATTTTATTTCTCAACTTTATCATAAAATTACCAAACTGGCCCCAAATTTCCAGTAACTCAAGTTATGTTGTTGCCCTGGGCAGGAAGTAATGGGGATGTTTAGAAGAGTTCCTCAACAAATGTTCAAATGTAAAGTTCTTTAACGACCATCCCAGTGTTGAACAGAAGAGCACTTTGTGGTGGCAGCTGGAGAATGGGGGCTTCCCCTTGATTTATCTGGAAGCTAGATTGGTACAAGCATTGAGCTGGCTTGTCTTGAGCTGCAGACTTGAGGTAAGAGTGGTCCCTACTCTCCCACTTCCTTAAAGGCAGATTTCTATCTGCCCTCATGGGCTAAATTCAAAAACCTCTGGCCCAGATACCACTGCAAATATATGACTGGTTGGAGAAAAAGAATCCAGACCGCCTTGTTTCCTAAAAGCCAGCATTTTGGAAAACTTTCTGTCCTGCCCCCAAAATGAGGCCATGAAGTTATAGTCAATGATGAGGGCTCCCCCACCTGAACTGAAGAAATTGCCTGCTGTCTTTGTGTAAGATATTCTTTCTTCCACGTGCATTTAAACTCCTCCCTCCAAAATCAAGAGATGAGGTGTGGAAATCAAGACTCCCCTATTGTCACCAATATACTTAATTTACATGCTATAACTAACCCTACACTGCTCAGAGTATTTAATACGACTGGAATTCCTTTAATTTGAGATCTATAGCTATTCACTATACACCTTCCAGGTGTTTTTCAATTCCTCAGTAATCTGAAAACTACTGTATATGTTCCAATTGTAGTAATTTAACTTAAGATCTCATTACATTCACTTTGGAAACTGCAACTGAGTGCCTCATATTTTTCATTTCTACTGTATAAGTCTAAAGCTTGAAAACACAGTCACTGCTCAGTTAATTTGGCTTCATCTTTCCAATTTATTTATTAAAGATACTGCTATGGAATTAAATTGAAATAGGAAATTAGGAATGAACCATTTAAAACAAGGCATAGCCAGCAAGCTTAAAAAATCATTACATACAGGCCTTCCTGGCATACACATACACGGGATGGAACAATTCAGAAGTGAAAATTTTTTGAGCCAATGGAAAGTAAGCTTCATCTAACACAAGAAAGGTCCAATAATCTACTTTCAGAAGAAAGTCAGATAAAAGACCCTTTTTTAAAGGAGTATGTTTTACGCAGTCAAGAGTCATTAATACTACTCCAAACTTCTTATCAACCAGTATCATGTCTGTGACAACTGCGAGAAAAGAATGTAATTTTGTAAAGGGGGAAAACAGCACATCTTTGGGGACCCCTGAGGCCCTAATCAAGCATCTCACAATTAAGAGTGCTCGGGGGGGTTGGGTAATGGCAACCCTGCTGTGGCAGAAACATACCATTTTATAATCAATGTTGTTAAAAGGGGAATGAGGAGATAGAGGGGCTTAGTCATTGCCAGGCCATTACATGCCTTAATTATTCCATCAGTTCGAAAGTGACTTGATGATAAAGCCTTATTTCAAATTCCCTCTTTCAAAAAGTCCCCTGGAAGAGAAATGGGGGCTCCCATTCTTCCCTAAAGTTCCTCCAGCCGAAAATGGAGGATTACAAAGAGAATGCAAATCCAACTCCACCTTAAAAGTAAAGGCAAAGGCAAAACCTCACTCCCTCCTCCTTCCACCCCTATTACCTTGTGGGAGGGGGACTCTAGCTGAAGCTAAAGATTTTTCAGAGTGAAGGAGAGAAAACAGTTCTCACCAATTTTATCTAGGTGGTGTATTAGTTCCTTTTTTCAGTAAGAAGTGAAAGGAACAGGACGAGCCCAAGACAAGTAAGCACTACACTGTGAACGCAGAAGTTATTAAAAGGCCACCAGAAAAGGTCAAACTGCAAAGCGTTAGGAAGGTGCTGTGGAGATAAAAGGATTAAAACAAGTTGGACTCGAGAGAAAAGTTTGTGTCCTTCACCTATAAATCATAATCTCTTCCTGTAATTCCTCCTCCCTGTATGCAAATTAGCATTCAATTCTAAGTGTTACCTACCTAGTCACACCAAATAACTAAAATTCCAAAGAACCAGTATTAACTCTATTCCGACAATTCAAATTATAAAATTTGTCTTTTAGGTACTAACAAGTGAACTTTTAAATAAGTCCTTGCCTCTTCAATTTAATGCTTATATAACATTTTAAAAGGCAGCATCTTTTTTTTTTTTTTGGGAGGACAGGATGATCAGGGTCAAAAACAAAAAGCAAAATAAACCAAAAAAAAAAAAAAAAACACCAAAACGCTATTAGAGCCTTTGGAATACTCAACAGAACAATATCGAAAATAAACATGACTTCTCAGAAGGGAAAAAAGTCATCTACATTCAGGACACACCTTAAAAGTTCTTAGCACACATTAACTAAGCAAGCACAAACTAGTGGTTTGCCTGTTATTTTTCAGACAAAAAACAATTAGCTTATTACTCTGCACTTGTCACTTCAGACACATAAAGGCTTTTTAGAAACTCTGGATCTATTAGTCATTCTCAAAGTATTATAAAATTTGGCATTTTTAGTCTTATTCGATAACAATCAAGAGTTTTTTTGGGGGGGGTGAAAAATACAGTAAAATAGGAACACTTTAAACGGACTTCTTGACACATACAAAAGAGAAGGTAAAAGTCGTCCGTCCCCCCCCACCAGACCCCTACCTAGCCCGCCAGGCCTGGCCGGCAGCTGTTGTTACCCTGCCTTTTCTTTTGTTGAGCTTAATCTGATGTCAAGTCATTCAACCAACTCAAAAGCGATGAAGACATAATTGAATCAACCTGAACTGAATCAGACATAGGCTCCTTAAAACATACAGCTTAATGGTTCCCAACGATCTAGAAAACGAGGAAACGTCGTATACATGGTGTCGCATACAAGGTGGTCAACAATATGTGACCTCAAACTGCCCAGTGGACCCCCTGCAACCGCCATCTAAGACATGTTTAGGAATGTCCGGAGCTTCAAGCCCTATGGGCTGATTCAGAAAGATAAATTGAGGTTCAAAGAATTTCAAAGTGGAACAACCATACACCAAAGCCTCAAGTCCAATGACTACCCTTTTCTTGTAAAAAGAAAAAAAGAGAAAAGTTTCTGCTGCTCCGTGCGTGAACAGGCTCTGGGGTCCCAGAAGTGGCCCCTGGTGGCTCTTTCTGGCTCCTGTAACTAAATCTTAAGAAAAACTCCCTGCCTGCCCACCCCACCCCCTCCCACCCGCCCAAGAATGTGGCTTCCAGCGCCCGGTGGCCCTCCCCGGAATCCCAAAATGTGGGTCCCCCCCGCCAGGAATGAACGGCCTTCCCTGACCCCCCGGGCTCAGGTGCCGGCCTAAGCACCCGGCTCGCCAGGTAGTGTCCCCTCTTACTAAGCCCCCTTTAGCCCTGCCTCCGGAGCCCGGCAGCGCCCCCCTGCCCTCCCCATCCCACCCCCTCGCGTTTTGGGGCCGCACCGAGAGCCAAGAAGAGGGCTCTGCCTCGGAAACTGCGCGGTCTCACCACTCAGCGCCTCTTGGCACAAACTTCCCTTTTAAGAAAAAGAAAGACTTTTAGGCTAACATTTCAATCCCTCCAGCCCTCTGGAGCCTCTGGCTCTACTTTCAGCTGGCTTTGGGGCTCCGAGTGGCGCTGGGAGTCACAAAGATACTCTGAAAGCGGTTAAGGGGCATTTAAAGAGTAAAGAAAAAAAAAAAAATCTTTAAAACACACACACACACCACCTTATCGCTCACATCCAGGAAACGCAGCCCTGAGCACCGCCCGGATTTGGGGGTGCGCGCCGGGGTCCGCGGCCAGGCCGAGCCCCTCCCTCCCCCCATAGACGCGCCCTCGCCGGCCAGTGTGGACGGTCCCGGCCATTGTCTGCGGGGGACGCCAGTTACGGCGCATTGTTTTGGCTGTTCCCAACTTGCCCCGGCCCCCACACACACACCCGGCCATCCGGGGCACCCGGCGCTGGCCCCCTGCCCTCCGCCCGCCCCCCAAGGCCAAGTCAGCAAACTGGAAGACCTGCCCGGCGAGACGACCCAACTTTTCAGGAGTAGCCCCCCACCCACCCATGCAGGCCCCCTCCTGCCAGCCCCTAGGTCCCGACCAGGAAAACGGGAACCCCCTACTCCCAAGCCATCTTGAATCTTTCGGAGAGTGAGTGTGATAGTCAAACACTGTACACACCGGGGCTCCCCGACACCTCGCGCTAGTGGACCGGCTCATAAGCCGGGTAGGGAGGGGGCGCCCTCGAGGGCAGAATAGAGAGAGCAGAATGGGGGGGTCCAGGCGGGGACTGGAGGCCATCCGGGAGGGGGACAGATAA